TGTATATATATATATATATATATATATATATATATATATATATATATAGAAAAAAACTACGCAACGCCTATAGTAGAAAATGAACAGTGATTTCGCCTACCCCCATCACTGTCCAAACTTCATCATACGGTCACGATTGTCTAGTAGTGTTTTATTTTTTATTTTTTTTCCGCAAATCAGAATGACCTGAAATTTGGAGTGTGTATTCATAAAAAGTAGGGGAATCTTTGAAAAAAAAAATATTTTACATGAAACAAACTAACCAAAATACCTAGGAAATATTCAAGGGTATTTTGGTCAATTTAATTTTTACGGAAATTTTTTTTTATTTTTTATTAGATGCGCATCAGTAAGATGTATATACTCTTTAAGTTTCAGGTCATTCCAATTTGTAGAAAAAAAATGAAAAATAAAACACTACCAGACAATAGTGATCGTGCGATGAAATTTGGATGGTGATGAGGGTAGGCGAAATTACTATTTATTTTTGTCTATAGGTGTTAGAAAGACTTTTCCATATATATATAATTGTATCGTGATTGTGCGATGAACTTTGGATGGTGATGAGGATAGACGAAATCACCATTCACTTTCGCCTTTAGGGATTGAAAAGACTTTTTGATATTGTTCATTTTATTTCGTCTGCGACGCCCTTCACCGTCCATGATGGTAAAGTTTAAAAGTTAGAACTTATTTGGAACCTTAGGAAGGTGATGGTCTCGTAACTTGTGACAACCAACCATCAAGGTCCCTTTTAAGAGCATGATGACCTTACAAGTTATAGGAACCAACCATCATGCCCAAAAGGTCCTTTAAATTAAGAGTTGCCGCAAGTTAAAAACTAAGGACTGTGATGGGTGGTTCCCAAAAGTTATACACCATCACATTCTTCGATGGTTGGTTCCTATAAGTCATAAGTTTGCTTGATATAATTTAGAAGACCATCACGGACTTCTTAGGACCATGATGGTTCTCATGACTTAAAAATCTTAAATGGACGACTTTCACAGTCTTAATAGGACCATGAAGGTATTTTAGGTTAAAAAGAAAAAAGGTGAACACTAAAAAAGTACTATGAATGAGGTTTCGAAAAAAATAAGATTTTTTTCTAATTTTATTGAAAAAAAGAGAATATTTTTTATAATTTCTCTAAAAAAACATAAGGCTTCTAACCCCTTAGACCCATAGCCCTTTATATCCCTTTATATGGCTCTCTTTCTCTCTTGTCAAAAATATCCCCTTTTTTTTTTGATATAGTTTATTGGTAGAAATCAAAGTTTAGACAATATTAATCACTGAAGCCCAACACCTTCCCTCTTTATTTTTGTATCTCTACGGCAGCAGCTAACGTTTCTAACTGGGTTGTCTTCCCCCAAACCCTAAACCGCTCCCAAAAAATAAAAAGAAAGAAAAAAACCCACCGCCTCTTTCTTGTCTTATCTTCTCTTCACTTCGCATCGCATCCCATTTATCTCTCTCCCACAAATGTCCATTATCCTCTTCCCTCCTCTTTTCATTTCATCTCTTGTCTTTCTCTCTCTCCCACAAAAGTTCATTATCCTCTTTCTTTCTCTTCTCATCTCTCTCCATAGTCCACGCAAAAGTCATCTCTCTCCATAGTCCACGCAAAAGTAAGCCTATAATAAACAATAAAAACTTGAAAATATATAAAAAATAAAAATTTATAATAAATAAAAATCAAATGGGATTGTGAGGCTCTAATAAATAAAAAATTGAAAAAAAAGATTTATAATAATTAAAAATTGACATATAATAATTAAAACTTTACGTAGAACTTGGCCAATTGTTTTTAGGAATCAATAGGTTTGCACTGATTCCCCGATAACCAATCAGACAATTCTGATCCGAATTGACATTTATTTATAGGAAAATCATTTCATAGGGATGCAACCCTATCAAAATAAGTAAAGACTTACCTCATAACTCATCTAAAGCTGCAATTCAAGAATTGGAAAACCGTTATATCAATCATCTCAGCTTGACCATCATGTTGTGAAGAAAAATTAGAATTTCACGCTAAAAAAATATGGTGTATTACAACAAATTATCTAGACTGTCTATTTCACCCTTACAATAAGTGTTCATAGATCTGCAAGATTTGTGCATTTTTTGAGTTTCAAATTTTATCGTCGGTATTGAAATTGATTTTAGGGCCATCATGGAGCTTTTTGTTGCGAGAAGCGTTTTTCGGAGGATTTGAGGTAAGGCTTTATTTTGTTTTCATAATGTGTAGACTTTATAGAAACTTTATACTTATTTATAATGGGGTCGTTATTTCCTATTTTCTCTTTTCTAAATAACTATCTCCTTGCATATTTTAATTCTAAATTTGAGGTTTTAGAAAATGGTGTGGTTTCTATAAGGTTGCAACCTTAAACAATCCAATTACGGCGCACCTCCAAATTTTACCATGACATGTAATTTTGGTGTAAAACATTATTAAGATTATCTCAAAATCTATTCTCATCTCTAATTATATAATTTTAAACTCCAAAAATGGTTAAAATCGAGTAGATCTATAAACATATGAAAATCTTGAAAATTGATGGTCTAGATAATGTGTTGCAAGATGCACTATTTTTGGGACTCATAATCTTTTTTTTTTTCATATTCATACATCTCGATGTCGAGATGATCTATTAAATGAATTTTCACCATTAAAAAAAATTTCTTCGGTGGATTTTTTAGGTGCATATGTAACTACATTTTAGGGTTGCAATCTTATATAAACTTTT